TACATGAAAGTCACTATAGAATAAGCAATAAATATTACTTAGTATAAAGTTTATTCACATGTATAAAAAGTAAATGTAACAAGAAGTTCATTAAAATAAAGCACAGCTATTTTTTAGGAAGGCTATGCATTCAAAAATGGGTTGCTTTTTCCAGATAATACGAATGCTGATAACAGTTGTACTGGTTAACTCCAAACTGTTAAGGACATGTTTGTAAAGCAAAACACGGCAGAAACACAGTTCATCAGACTGAAGGCATCAACATGTATTATATATGTTCCAGCTGACCAAAGATAACATCTACAAAAGGTAATTATTTTTATTTTTATCTTACTTTAATTAAAAATAATTTTAATTGCATTTATTTTCTTATTGGAGGGTGGTGAATGTATGCATGCCACTGCACACATGTGGAAGCCATCAGAGATCAGTTTGCAGGAGAGACTTGTGAGACCTGGGGATTGAATTCAGGTAGTCCATCTTAGCAGCAAGTGTCTTTACCCAGTGAGCCTTCTCTTCAGCCCAGTATTGAAATTTGTTCACTTGGTGTTGGGGATCAAACCCAGGTGCCCGGTATAAGCAAAGTGTGTATTCCACCACAGTTCCCTCAACCCAAAATAGCATTTTGTTTGTTTGGCTTTGGTTTTCTTTTCTGTTTCTTTGTTTCTTTCCTTCTTTCATTCTTTTGTTTGAGATAGAGTTTCATTCTGTATTCAAGGTTGGCCTGGAAGCTGTATCAATCTTTTTCCCTTAGCTTCCTAAGTACTGGTATTTCTGGTATATGTCTGCATGCCTGTCTCCAAAAATCTAATCTTTAAAAAATTACAGAAATACTTGACATTCCTCTACTAGCATAAATGTCATCCACAACATTTCAGATCAAACAATGAGTAAAATTTAATTCACATTCAATTAAAACAAAATATGAATAATATGATTTTTTGTTAAGCACGAGTAAATCTTTTGCCATTAAAATTCTCCTGTACAGGGCTGGAGAGATGGCTCAGCGGTTAAGAGCATTGCGTGCTCTTCCAAAGGACCTGAGTTCGATTCCCAGCAACCACATGGTGGCTCACAACCATCTGTAATGGGGTCTGGTGCCCTCTTCTAGCCTGTAGGCATATATGCAAACAGAATATTGTATCCATAATAAATAAATAAATATTTAAAAAAAATTCTCCTGTACATTTAGGAGGAGTATACATACAAATAAATTATATGAGAAATAGAAAAAAATCTGATGAGAAATTTGGAGATCAATGTAACGGGGGTGTTGGTACAAATCACTGCTAGGTGTCTGTCTGGCAACGCCAACGTCACCACAAGAAAGAAACACGTCTGGAGGTAAGTGGGAAAGAAAGGCGCAGAGGACCGTGATCCTCTCCAGCTGTGGCTCGCTCTGGGAGTCCCTCCCCCGCCCCCCACTCAGGAGCACATTGCTAACAGATGTGCAGCTCCCACAGCCCGAGCTCGTGCTCTTTTCCTGTCCTACGAAATGGAGTTTTATAGCTGCGTCTTTGTCACTTTCAAATCTGATTATAGCCATATTCTATCCATTTCCTAATTGTAACGGAAGAAAAACTGGTCTATCAAAAATAAAACCTGTGCGAAAACAGACCTAATGTTTCACAACAGTCCACTCCCCGGAGAAGAAGCCGAAACTAAACAACAGACTGAACCGCTCTGCGGTAACCACACTGAACAGCTCCAGAGGCACCACGGGAAGGGAGCCGGCAGTGCGACCCAAGTCTGCGGTGGCTTTACACCGTGAGATCCCTTTCAGTTTTCCGGTGCTTGCTAACAGTGGTTCTGTTACAGTTTTCTGTTGGCAGTCCAAGTATCCTGACACCTAGATGCTCTAGAAACACCAGTGATTCCACAGTTTTCGTGGTGAATTTTGAGATCTCTTCAAGTTAGGGTAGACGGCAAATGTAAGGCTGCAGATGGGACGGTGTGAGGCTGTCACAGGTCCTGAAGCTAACTTTGGGGTTAGACTTGTGGAGGCAATAGACTATTTCAAATTAGGATTCAGTAAAAGAATAGGGTATGGTGTGGGGGGGCCAGGGGTTAAACTCTTCCCTATCATGAGCGAGGCCCTGGATTCTAATCCCCAGCACACTTGGGACGCAGAGGCAAGTGGATCTCTGAGTTCCAGGCTAGCCTGATCCACAGATGGAGTTCCAGGACATGCGTGCATATCTGTGTGAGTGTATGCCGCAAAAGTTCAGGTACCTGAAAAGACCAGAAGGCAGCACTGGATACCCCGTCCCCCGGAGATGGCGTTATAGGTGGCTGTGAACAGCCCAATATGGGTGCTTGGATCCAAACTTGGATCCCCTGGAAGAGCAGCAAATGCTCTTAACCACTTGAACAATCTCTCCCACTCGCCCATGTCTTTTTATCTGTATTTGTCCAATGTACTTAGGATTATACTCTCTTGTAGAGTGTGAGATGGGACTAGATGAAGTGGATTACTCACCACAAACCCAGCTTTCGCCAACCTAGCAGATTTCAGACAAGTCATGCCTTAGCTCTGCTGGTTACAAAGTGAGCAAGATCAGTGCTAGAAACCTTCTCAGAAGAGAATTAAAGTCAGCATCAAGCACATAGTTATATGAGGAAAGGTGTTATGGAGAGAAGATACGAAGAACAGAACATTAGAGGAAATATGGGTGACTTAAAAATACTTCTAATTCCATGAAAGTGTTGACAGATGATTTATTTGTGACATGCATCCTATAGGTCTGAAAATGTAAAAGGATAAAGGTTTCCAGTCTCTAAGGACTGCTGTCCTCCTTTTATCTGCCCTAATGAACATCACGCTGTCTTGTGTTTGCTTTACTCCACGTGACCTCTGACCTAAGGATGTAGTCCAGGCTGTGCTCAAACTTGTGATCCTGAGTGGTGAGACTGCTGGAGTGTCACACCAGGCCCAACCAATCACAATGCTATAAAAGAAACACACACACACACACTTATATTCACACACTGCAAAATGATATGGATTTTCTAAATATTTAATTTGGGTGGAGCTATCAAATGCAAGCAGGTTGCAATATCAACTCTATAACATCGTAAAACAAAGTAACAATTTATAAAAGATCTTAAGGAATAGGGAAATGTCTGACAGAAACAGACAACAAAGGAAAGCACCAGTGTTTTTTCTAGTGAGTTTTCAGGACTGTGTGGTTCCTGGATTCCAGAGAACCCGGTTCCTTGCCACGGAACAAGCAAACGAGCTCCAGCAGACAAGCATGTAAGTTAGCATGTGCTCCACGCTTAGGAGTCATGTTCTGCTGCGGTTTGTTTTGTTCTGGTGCTGGAGCTCTAACCCAGGGTCCTGCACACATGTCAAGCACAGGCTTTTGCACTGAACTCCTCTTCTGCACCCTTATGTCTACAATAGAGAAGCATCTGCTGAAACTGTGGTGTGTTTTTCCATATGTTAGGCTGTACTAAAAATGAGACTGAGAGTTTAGCTTAATGATATAGCACGTGCTTAGCATATGTGATGCTCTGTTCAATATTCACACACACACACACACACACACACACACACACACACACACACACACAGGCTTTCTGATGACTTCAGTTGATATTGCTGGGGAATCTAACTCAGGGCCCCAGGCATATGAAACCAGTGCTCAACCTCTTGCTTCTACCATCCTCTCACTAAATTTCTAGCTCGATATTATGCATGCTTGTATGCATATGCATGCCAACACATGTATGTATAGGCCAGAGGGTGATATTGGTATCTTCTTCAATTGCTCTCCACCTTAATTCATTTTTTATTTTGTTTTATGATTTTTGAGACGGGGTTTCACTGTATAGCCCTAGCTGTACTGGAATTAACTCTGTAGACGAGGCTGGCCTCCTGAGTGCTGGATTAAACACTTGTGCCACCACTGCTAGGCTCCTTCCTTCCTTCCTTCCTTCCTTCCTTCCTTCCTTCCTTTCTCCCTCCTTCCCTCTCTCTTTCTTTCTTTTTTCTGAGACAGGATTTCTTTGTGTAACAGTCCTGGCTGTCCTGGAACTCACTTTGTAGACCAGGCAGGCTTTGAACTCACTGAGATCCACTTGTCTCTGCCACCCAAGTGTTGGAATTAAAAGTGTGCACAACCACTGCCTGTCTTGTTCTTGTTTTTTTTGAGGCAGGCTTTCTAGCTGTCCCAGAATTCACAATGTAGAACAAACTGGTCTTAAACTCACAGAGATCTCTGCCTCTTGAGTGCTGGGTGTAAAGGCATGCACTAGCTCACTGGCTCCATCTTAACTTTTGAGACCAAGTCTCTCACTGAACTTGAAGGTTCCTGATTCAGCTACAGTGGCTAGCCACCAACCCCAGGGGTCCTCCTATGTCCTTCTCCCCAGTGCTAGGATTATAGGTATGCATCCAAGTACTCACGCTGTTGTTGATATCTTGTGTGTTATTTTTTTTTTTTTGTTTCAGACATGGATACTGAGGATTGACCTCAGATCCTTATGTTTGTATGATAAGCACTTTTCCAAACTAGATGTCTCTTAAGCCTATGAATAGCAATTTTTAGAAACAACAACAAAACTCTCTTGGCCCCTCTTATCCCATGGAAACATGATTGATAGCAAGTGAAAAAACTAAGACCTGCAAATTTGGTGAAGGCTCTGCACCAATTAAATCAGAAAACCAGGTGATTATACAAGGCCCCAGATTTACACCAAAATGTCAAATTCTGTGAAGTATTCTCAGCCAAGAAGAAATCCTAATGAAGAGAGGATCCAATTTCATGACTTGAAATAAACTAATGATTGACAGTTCCTAGTTTGCTCCTTCTGTTAACAAACTTTGTCTTGTTTTGAGACAGGGTCTGGATAGGGCTAAGACTGTCCTTGAACTCTCATCCCTCCCAACTCAGTGTCCTAGGTGTGGGGATTATAGGCACGCATCGCATTACCCAGCTATAGCAAAGATTTCTGAACCAGTACAACATACATTTATAGACACACATCACACTACCCAGCTATAACAAAGATTTATGAATCAGTACAACGTACATTGCAAAACGGCACTCTTTTCTTCACTTCAAGGAAATGGAGCTGAAGTCTCTTACCAAGATGATAGAGATCCAGTTCCAGTCCGAGCCAGAAGCAGAACTGTGGTGAGTTCTGTTCAGTATTGCTTCTTTATCCCTTGCAGTTTGTCATAGAAAGCTGAACAGGCAAGTCATTTTTTGTTTCGGGGAGAACAAATCATTCAAACCACATGAATGTCTTACAGAAAGGCGGCAAGGTGGGCTTAGTGAGATGGGAGTGACATAGACTTTTTAAATACCCTAAATCCTTTGGCTGGCCCAGGATATGGAGGCGGTGGTGAGACGCTGTGCTTTCTGGTCAGTGCTACTGCCTGTTCATAGGAAGGTAGCCCTATGTCCTCTGAAGGTGGCGATGAAGGCAAGACAACCTCCTCAGGGCTTCTGAAGATGATGGAGGGTATGTGTCTGGTCCTTCTTGTGTAGACAGCTGAGGAACTAGAGAGAGAGATGACATTTAGGTTTAAGAGAGGCAAATTTCTGGGTTAAGGTATGACATTAAACATTCTAGAAGGCAGGCAGTAGTGGGACACTCCTTTAATCCCAGCACTCTGGAGGCAGAGGCAGACAGATCTCTATGAGTCTGAGGCTAGTCTGGTCTACACAGTGAGTTCCAGGAGAGCCAGGGCTACACAGAGAAACTGTGCCTAGAAAAATTAAATGAAGAAAGAAATAAGGAAAGACAGACAGACAGACAGACAGACAGACAGAGACAGACAGACGGACTAAGAGCACTGAAGTTATACGTGGGTCAGAAACTGTTCTCTGTCATCCTGTGATCAACGTCAAGCTCCCTGACTCAGTTTCCTCCTCTCTAAACTGGGTAATAAAGCTATCTCAGCAGAGTTGTTGGTGTGGATGGAGGAGGACGTTTGATGTAATACTTCCAGCAGAGTGACTCTCTTTCCCTCCTGCTCCGGAAACCAAGCCCAGGCTTTGCTGTGAGGGGGCACGATGCCAAGCCACAGAGGTAGTCTCCACAGTGTTGCTGCCTGGTTGACCCTTGACCCTTCCCAAGCAGTATTTCTGTCATGTGATCTAGACATGGCCTGCCCTCCATGTTTATGTACCTCCTGAACCCTCCTTTCCAAGCCTCCCTTACTCTGGCCTTATTGTGTTTTTTATAGCTTTCTTCTCTGTCAAATAGAATTTTCAGGCCCCATCTGTCTCTCTGCTCTTTTTTCACCCCCTGAGACAGGGTCTCATGTAGCTCAGTCTGGCCTCAAACTCACTATGTAGTTGACGATGACTTCGAACTTCTGCCTCTACCTCCCCAGTATTGAGATTATAGGCATGAAGTGCTGGAGATTGAATCACTGACTCTATAAATGCCAGGCAAGAGATCTACAGCTGAGCTTCCCTCCAGCCGGCTTCTCTGTGCCTGGACTGGTATTGTCACACTCTATTCACGCAGTCTCTTTCTTTTCTCCAGCTTTAGTGACCTAAGCCCATTTACGCTTGGCCAAGCACATGGTAAAGCAGTAGCCTAGAGTATAAACACCTGGCTCCACCCTCAGCGCTGAAACACAAAGTTTAACCTCCTCTTCTCTTCTCCTGTCTTCTCTTTGTTTTGGGATTGAGCCCAGAGTCATGGGCATGCTGGAAGGCAAGTACTGTACCACTGAGCTACCATCTCTAGTCATTCTGAAATGTTAGGAAAGGGTCTTTTCAGGTTGCTGAGCTGGACTTGAACTCATTATTGTAACTGGCCTTGAACTGGAAAACCTCCTGAGTTCTAGAACTACAGATTTGTACCACCACACCTAAAAAAAATCCCAACAGTTTCATGAAACTTCATCAGCCAGTGAAAACTTAATGAAACGTGGGTCTGATGCTTTCAGCCTATGGCTTTCCACTCTCTTCTGTGAATTGCAAACTACATTAAAAAATTTTAAATCTCATGTATATGTGTATATATAAATGTATACATAAACATGCACACACATATACACACACATGCCGCACTGTGCTTGCGGAAGTCCGAGAACAATTTTCTCAGCTGGTTCTCTCTATCATGTAGCTCTCCCTCTCTCTCTTTTTGGGGATGGGATGGGGTTCAAGACAGGGTTTCTCTGTAGCTTTTGAGCCTGTCCTGGAACTTGCTCTGTAGACCAGGCTGGCTTCAAACTCACAGAGATTCGCCTGTCTATGCCTCCATGGTGCTGGGGATTAAAGGTGTGTACCACCACCGCCAGGCTCATGGAGATCTCAAGAACTGAATTTGGGTCAGCAGGATTGTTGGCAAGTTTACCTTTACCCACTGAACCATCTCACCAGTCCAGAAGCTACAATGTAAATGTTAGTAAATTGAGCTGTTTAGACTGTGAAGTTGACTGACTATAAAATATCAGTGCATCAGCTAACTTCCTATTGATAAGGGTAATATGATAATTAAGATTCAGACAATTTTGACAAACCTCTAATTCATATCTATAGAATTTTTACCACTAAAGGACAGTTCCCATAGGTCTAGGGAGTTGTCTTGCAAAGCTGATGGTAAAAGCCAGACACAGTAGCGAATGCATGTGCAATCCCAGCATGCTCATTGTCATTTCAAGTGTTTGTTAGACATTTGTCTGTCTGCTTTGGAGAAAAGTCAGCTCAAGCCCTTTATCTTTTTATAGGTTGTCTTTTTTTTGTTTTGCCCTTCCTTCAACTATCTTTTTTTAAAACACTGCTTTGTTTTATATCAGTAGCCAGTGCTCTTAACTGCTGAGTCATCTCTTTCGGCCCTCTTAGTTTGTCTTTAAAAATCTTAGAAATAAGATATTATTTTATCCTGTCAAATCCCAGTTTCATTTTTTCCCTCAGTCCTTCAGCCAGAAGTCAGGACTCAGCTCACATTCTCCCTGTATGTCCTCCAGCTTTCTCGTAGCCATCGAGTCTCACAGCTTCTCTTCCCTCAGACAAGTCCAGACTCCCGACTCCCCTGGGAGTCCCACGCTGGCATTCCAATGGGCGCTCCTCAACTTCACAGATTCTTCCTGTTCCGCTATGTATTGTTTAAGAAATGTGTCTGCTTTTGCCATCACTATGTTCCCAGGAGGGAACAGATTACTGTTTTCTTAAAAACCTTTTTCCCAAAAGAAACTTTCTATTTCTCTTGTTCCATGGGGATCACCTGTGACCATCTTCCCTAAACTTAAATGACCTAATCCTATCATAATTTGGGCTCTCTCTCTCTCCCTCCCATTCTCTAGCCGAATGGTAACCACTCTATGTCTTCTTTGAACAACTCTCCTTCACCTTCACAAGCCACAGAATCCCCTGACTAGGAGGTATACAGCAGCAACGGCAGCCCGTAGCTAGACACCAGCTGTGCAGAAGTTATACCGGGACTGGGGCAGATTCACTGTCATCTGCTGAGTTTAAAAAAAAACAAAAAACAAAAAAAAAACCTTACTTATGACATGTCTCAACTTGAATTTCATATGAGCATATGAATGCTGCATAAATCTACAATCAGTACAAGCTCTGAACAGGTTTTGTGCTTGGTTATTTTAGGATGGAATCATATCTTAGAGGAATATGCCAGAAAATATAAATCAATCGATGAATGCAAGTGTACAAGATGCTCAGTGTTTGGAAAATACTGTACCAGATTAACTAGTCAGACAAAGACTGTGTGGTTCCACTTATGTGAGTCAGAGTAGTAAGATTCCAGAGGAGGAAGGTAGGTTGGTGGAGAGCTTGGGCTGGGGGCTGGGGACTTGAGCAGAAGACGGGGAGTGGCATGGAGCTGGAGATGATTGTAAAGTCATGTGAATGAGATGAATTCTGAACTGGAACTACTTACTTACAAATAACGAAGAAGATAGATTTTATTTTATGTAAACTACTATTGTCAAAATGCATTAAATCTATAATAGTGTTTTCTTTTTCTTTGTGTAGGTGTATGGTATGTGTGTGTGTATGTGCTCATGGGTATATGTGTGTATTCATGTGCAGAGGACAACTTTGGGTGTTGTTCCTCAGGAGCTATTTTGGGGTGTTTCATTTGTTTGTTTGTTTGAGACAGGGTCTCTTATGTAGCCCTAGCTGCCCTGGAATTCTGAATGTAGATCAGGCTGGTCTTGAACTCACAGAGATTCATCCTGGCTTTTTTTTTTTTTTTTTTTTTTTTTTTTTTTTGACACAGGTCTCTCACTGAGACCAGTGCTCACCAAATTCAGCTGTCCTGGCTACCCAGAGAGCTCTAAGCATTCACCTGTCTGTCTGCCCAGTACTGGTACTGCAAACACATGCCAATACGTGCTGCCTTTTTACATGGGTGCTGGGGTCCAATTCAGATGCTCATGCTTGCATTGCAGGCATATTACTGGCTGGGCTATCTGCAGCCTCGTAGTTATTTCTTTCAGTTTTTGTTTTTTTATTTTTTATTTTTTTCGAGATAGGGTTTCTCTGTGTAACAGCCCTGGCTGTCTTAGAACTTGCTCTGTAGACTAGGCTGGCCTCAAACTCACAGAAATCTGCCTGTCTCTGCCTTCCTCTGTTGGGATTAAAGGCATGCATTCCAGGAATTTTGTTTATTTCCTTATTTTAATTTTTACTTTGTTAACATTTTAAAATTTGTGTGTGTGTGCGTGCGTGCGTGTGTGTGCGTGCGTGCACGTAGGTCTGTGCAAATGAGTGCAGGCGCAGGTGGAGTCCTGTCTCCTGGAGCAAGGGTTTCAGGTGGCTGTGAGCTTCCTAATGTGGGTGCTGGGTGTCAAAGTTGGGTCACCTGGAAAAGCAGCATACACTCTTGCTGGCTGAGCTATTTCTCAGGACCCTAAAAACATTGCTTCCGTGGGCAAAAAATAGGATGAAAAAATTTGAAGACCTTAATCTTCATTATCGATACCTTTCCAGACATTCATATAGCAGTAAAATAACTTAAGTGATTGTGATTCTCTCCGATGAGCTAATATGATCTCCTTTAAGCCTTCAAGAGGGAATGCTGTGCTGGCCTTGGACCGGCTATATTGCTGAGGATGCTCTTGCATTCCTGGTCCCCCAGTTCTTCCTCCCAAGTGCTAGGATGGCAGTCACGGTCCACCCCTGGCTTATGTGGGGCTACAAATCAAACTCAGGGCTTTGCATGCTAAGCAAGAGCTTTACTCTAAAAGAGCTTCATCCCTAGTCCCTGAGGAAAAATACTCTACTAAATGATGTGGAGAAATGTGTCCTTTGTGTTTACTGATCCCATATAAAGGATTTTTATTTTTAAATAAGTAACCTTTAAAATGATAATTCTGATGAACTAACAGCCAAAGTCATAAAACTGGCAAAAGAAAGAAAAAGATACTCTGAAATTTTTAGAGGAATCAAGGTTTTTTTGTTTTTGTTTTACCTATTCATTTCAAAGATGAGGAAAACTTAAGGAGGGCAGGAGAGATGGCTCAGCCATTGAGATAGTACACTGCCCTTCCAGAGAACTCTTTGGTCCCCAGCACCCACACCAGTTAGCTCACAACTGCCTGTAAGTCCAGCTCCAGGGGGTTCAATGCCCTCTGGGATTCTCAGGCACTTGCACACATGTGGTGCACATAAATTCACACAAGTAAGCACATATGCAAAAATAATATTTTTTTAAATTAAGGAATTTAATGGGGCTTAGTGGTATGCCTGTAATTTCAGAATTTGGAATTGATTAATTCAAGGCCCACCTGGGATACAGAGTTTGAGGCCAGCATAGGTTACCTAGATAATGTCTCAAATGACAGAGAGCGAGGGGAGAATTTGCTTTCAGATCCATTATCAGATCCATTATTAAATAGTAGAGAATTAGCATGAGAACCTTTGCCTTCTAATTACTAGTTGAGTGCTCTTCCTCTACAAATTATTCCATTATTTATTTATATCTGATATGAAATAATTAAGAACAGCCTTATCCCATTAGTTTAAAGAGTGTAATTAAATTTTTCTAGTTTCATATTGGTCTACATTTAGACTTGAATGGTTGTATAATCATCTTTCAAAATGAACAAAATGCTGGGCAGTGGTGCTGCATGCCTTAAATCCCAGAACGCAGGAGGCAGAGGCAGGCAGATAGATCTCTGTGAGTTCATGGCCAGCCTGGTCTACAGAGTGAAACCCTGTTTTGAAAACACCCCCCCCCACTACCACCACTCAAATTAAAATGGGGGCTGGAGAGATGGCTCAGTGATTAAGGGCACTGGTTACTCTTCCAGAGGACCTGGGTTCAATTCCCAGCACCCGCAGGGCAGCTCACAAATGTCTGTAACTCCAGTTCCATGGGATCTGACATTCTCATTCAGACATACATGCAAGTAAAACACAGATGCACCTGAAATAAGAATAAATAAATTGTTGAATAAAAAATTATTTATTTTATACAGCCCCTGCTTCAGTTCTTGCCTCCAGGTTCCGGCCTTGGCTTTCCTCAGTAGACTGTGACCCACGATTTGTAAGCCAAACAAACCCTGTCCTCCTCAAGTTGCTTTATATCACAGCAGTAGAAACCCTAACCAAGACAGTTTTGCACATTATTATGGTCCCTATGAATTCTTATCGATCTCTGCTAATGTACTATTTAATCCTTAATTGGTAATAGTTTTATTAATTTTAAGGTATCAATAATAGGTTAAAGCCAGTCCCCTCTCCCTTGAAACAAAGTGTCATATGTCCCAGACTGGCTTCCACTTTGTTATGTAGCCGAGGGTGATCTTGGAACTTCTGACCCTCGGGCGGCCTCCACCTTCGTAGTGCTAGTGTTTGTAGGCGTGTGCCACACCAGGCTTATGTGGTACTGGGGATTGAAGCCAGGGCTTCTTGCACACTAGGCAAGCACTCTACCAACTGAGTTATACCTTCAGTCCTTAAATTCTACACAGATCTATTGCGTTTATGACCCACTAAAGTACTAGATGTCCTGTTTGTGAAAATAATGGGGCAGCGGTGTCACAGGGAGTGGTGTATGCATTCGAGGCAAGTGCTCTGCTGCTCAGTGGTATCTCTGGTCTCTGTATGTAGCCCAGACTGGTACTGATCTTGAATCCTGTTTCCCTACCTCCTGACTGCTGGGACTGTAGATCTCAGCAGCTACACCTAGATCTTATTTTTTTTTCCCATTTATTTATTTATTAAAGATTTCTGTCTCTTCCCCGCCACCTCCTCCCATTTCCCTCCCCCTCCCCCAATCAAGTTCCCCTCCCTTGACAGCCCATAGAGCTATCAGGGTTCCCTGCCCAGTGGGAAGTCCAGGGACCACCCTCCTCCATCCAGGTCTAGTAATACACCTAGATCTTATATTCTTTCGAAGGATCTTAGAAATAGCATCTTTAGCCCACATTTGCCACGACACACAGGTGCCCATACACACATACACTAAAGAGATAAATACATTTAAGAAATTGTAGAAATAGCATCATTGGATTGTTAATGTGGATGTTAAAACATCAAACATCTGTCAGCCTAGATTCTGGGAAGACAGAATTAGATGTAGTGTGGGCCCTTAACAGGCCCTGGAGTAGGGAGAGGACACTAACAGAGAAACTGGCAAAATGTAAGCGTAGAGTTTAGTTAATGATGATAGTACAGTGTGTGTGTGTGCATTGTGTGTGTGCGCGCGCATGTGTGTGTGTGTGCATTTTGTGTGTGCGTGCATGTGTGTGTGCATTGTGTGTGTGCACGCATGTGTGTGTGTGCGCATGTGTGTGTGTGCGCGCATGTGTGTGTGCATTGTGTGTGCGCGCGCATGTGTGTGTGCGTGCATGTGTGTGTGCATTGTGTGTGCGCGCATGTGTGTGTGTGCATTGTGTGTGTGCATGCATGTGCATGTCAGAGGTCAGCATCAGTGTTTTTCTCAATCGCACTCCACCTTGATTTTTGAGACGGGGTCTCCCCCTGACCAGGAATTTGCTGATCAAGCTGGGCTGGCCAGCAAGCCCTAGGAAGCCTCTGTCCCCACCACCCGGAAGTTGGACTATAGGCTCATGCTGCCTCACCAAGCTTTTCTAATTGCTGGTGATCTGAACTCAGGACTTCTGCTTGTGCAGAAAGCAGTTGACTACGGAGCCACACCTCTGGTCATATTTCCTTAGTCTTGACAGATCTAATATGGTAACATAATTGGAGAGCATGGGAGAAACTGAGCAAAGGGTGAACAAAAATTCTCTGAACTGCCTTTGCAATCTTTTTGACTATCTAGGATTGTTCTAAAGTAAAAACCCCAAAACAAACAGCTATCAGTCTGACCCACTAAAATAACAAAACAGAATGTACATGAGTTAAGTTAATGTTTGACTTACCCCAGATATGACTGCCTATTACACTTGGTGATGCACAAATAGTAACCAAATAGGCCAAAAATAACCAGGAATACTCCAGCAGCAATGAGTCCAGTCAGAAGGCCCATAACATCTATCTTTTCTTTGTTAGCATCTTAAAAGAAAGCAGTAAAAGAAGTTAATAGCACGAATGAAAAGAATCACCTATAATTTCAATAAATTTCACACATTATTAAGGAGAATTTCATAATTGATAACTGACTTATTTATTTATTGCTTTTTCGAGACAGGGCTTCTCTGTGTAGCCTTTGCTGGCTCTGTAGACCAGGCTGGGTCGAACACACAGAGATCCTTCTGCCTCTGATTCCCGAGTGCTGGGATTAAAGGTATGCACAACAATACTGCCAGGCAACATTTATTTATCTTAAAGTCTTTGTGTTAGAGACTCTACCTGAAAAAATTAAATAATATTTGTTATTTAAATTTATTTCTCTTTTTGAAAAATATTTATTGTGTGCGGGTGTGTTGTCAGGACACACGTGTATGTCAGAGCACATGTGAGGGCGTGTTGTCATGACACAGTGCATGTCAGTGCACATGTGAGGGCGTGTTGTCATGACACACGTGTATGTCAGAGCACATGTGAGGTCGTGTTGTCATGACACATGTGTATGTCACAGGACATGTGAGGGCGTGTTGTCATGACACACGTGTATGTCAGAGCACATGTGAGGGCATGTTGTCATGACACACATGTATGTCAGAGGACAATTTTTGAGAGTTTGTTTTTGCCTACTGCCATGTAAGTCTTGAGAGTTGAACGTGGGTTTGGTGGCGAGCATCTCTACCTACTGAGCCATTTTGCCAGCTCTTACATGATATTTCTTAGACTCTTAATTATGTTTATTATTTTATTTACTTAAATAAGTCATATTATATGAAGAATATCCCACAGTAAGTGCGATAAACATGTCCTTGGCTCGGCTAGACGTAGTGGGCACATTATTAGGCAGCCTTGTCACAGTCCCTGCAGGAGGTGCCTATCTAAGACGAATGAAAGAATCAAAGGCAAGACTAATTAAATAAATGACCAATACAGCTAGGAAAAACAGGTGGAAGGCATTAAAAAAATTAGTTATCAGGAACAGAATGACGATCAAGTAGGACCAGTCAGTTTTACTGCTTTGCAGAAAGCTGGAATAACTATTGTTGATAATCCAGTGGATATTTCAAAATAGAGGATCTTTATATTATCACCTCAATAAATGGCAAATGTTTGATGTGACAGATATGCTAACTGTCCTGATTTGATTACCACGCATTGTATATAAGTGTTTAAATACCACACTGTATTCCATAAACAGGTTCAATTATTATGTATCAAACCATTATAAAGAAAAGCAAGCAGCTTGAGATGACCACTACAGGTAAGACAGGGGCTTTCCCTTTCCCAGAAGGTACGACTTCTAATACTGTCCTCCTGGTGTGTTTCTTTTACTTCTCTTGGCGTTGCAGACTGAACCCAGGCTAAGCACGTGTTCTCCCACTTAGATACATCTTCAGTCTTTCTCTTCTTCCTGCTCCGGGGGGGGGGGGGGGGGGGGGGTGGGGGGGGGTGGGGAGGAAGGGTATGGGGGTGGGGGGTGGGGCTGCGGTCTCCTAGGCTTCATGCAATCACTTCACTGCCTCACTGTGGGCACGCCCGCCCGCACCGAGTGTGTTTGTGTGTGCGCGTTCCTTTCTGGAGATCAAGTTCAGGTGCATGAATTCTTAGCTAAGCACTCTCTATGTGCTGCGGCCCCAGCCCGACCTTCAGCCTTACCCAGCAATCTCATTTACCTGTCATAGGTATTTTGTTCACTTGTAATGCTAACAAAAGATAAAGTTGTACTATAAAGCTGAAACTCACAGAGTTCTACTTCCGTGCAAGTTTTAACTTAGCCCAGCGGCTTAAACAACCTTTAAGCCCATTGTCTCATTTCCCTAATATCTCACCAAACTTGATTTCAGTATGTAAACAAAGAAGGGAGCCTCTGTCTCTCACAGTTCAGCACATAGTTGAGAAACCGTCCTTGGCATGTACGTTGAGCAATAGCCAAACTCAAACATGAAAACGAAAATGTGTTAAATGGTGAAAGGTGAGAACAGCGCGCCCGTCAGGAGTTCACCTTACCTGATCGTGTGGTCGGTCCTTTCAGCGAATAGTCCCGCCAAAATGTAATCTGCGGAAAAAGAACATTCACATATCTGTAACTAGGATCATTTCATTTGTTCCCGGTGTCCTAGATTGGAGGGTAAACTCTTGGCGTGTGACAGGCAGGAGCCCAGTTCAATCCAGCTGAAGGCACTGACTCTGACTCATTGTGCTGTGTCTGCTGTCTGGTTAACTGTGAAAGGATCGTGCTGGTCCCAGGTCTCCACTGCCATGCCCTGCCAGTCTCCCTTACCCAGCTGCCCGTCTGTGAAAGGCTGGTTCTCTGCACTGGGGTGTGGGGCTCCGTTTACTAGGAGAGTTGAGATTACTGACTTGCAAACTTATCTCTGAGGCTGTCCAAGTTCTATGTGCTTTGAAAGAATAGAAGAGTTTTGAGGAACCATGATTAAATTAGAACTTTCTCTAAACCAACAAAACAACAACAAAAAACACCTTCCCTTAAACTTACACAGACAGATCAATAAAATCCTGAACACAAGAGGCCGCTTTCCACCCTCAGTGCAGAGGCTGTGAATGCCTCAGTGGCTGCTGTGCCATCCCAAGGACCAGGTTCAGACCCCAGCACTCACATGACAAGCAGCACATACATACACACACATAAAGAAAAGAAATCTTTCTTTTGGCTTTTGTTTTTTGAGACAGGGTTTCAGGGTTTCTCTGTGTAATAGTCCTGGCAGTCCTGGAGCTCACTTTGAAGAGCAGACTGGCCTTGAATTCACTGAGTTCTGCCTGCCTCTGCCTCCTGAGTGCTGCAATTAAAGGCTTGTCCCCGTCCCCCACCCTCACCCCTTCATCCTTAACCCTGGCTATAAAATAAAATAAATCTTAAAAAGAAAAGAAAAAAAACAAACACATATCATTCTCAGTGTCTGGCACATAGGAGATTGTCAATAAATAGTTGAACTATAGATATAGGCAATCAAAAAGGTAAGATTACTAAGAAGAAAAATTGCACTTAGTTTTAAATAATTGAATTTCAAGTCAAAGTACTAACTATGTCTTAGTTGCTAGGAACGGAACCCAGGGCCTTGTGCTGTCTAGTGCTGTGGCCTCTGAGTCATCTTCAAATAACATTGTGAACTGAAATCCCTGTTGCCTGAGACTATTTTTGGATATATTAAACACTGAACACATGGCTAGGCACAGTAGCACACGCCATTAATTCCAGCACTTGAGAGGCCAAGGCAGGAGGATCTCTGTGAGTTTGAGCCCAGCCTGGTCTACATAGCAAGTTCTAGGATATCCAGGGCTACACAAAGAAACCATGTCTCAAATAAACAAACAAACAAACAAATTTTTTTTAAAAAAGTTAAACAAAATCATCACATAGCTTGTAATTTGCTAATTACCATAAATGAAAGCTGATTAAGCACAAAGCCTACTTGAAAGAGGCTTCCTTGGCACTTTAAGAAGTGGAAAGAGGTATCAAGCATACAGTTTTGACTTTGTTTAAAGCACACAGGTCTATGACATATTTGTCGCCACTTTCTCAAAGTACGCTGAAATAACCTTCCAGGTGACTGACATCCCTAGGCAAATTACCGTTTTCTCATCATCTCTGAAGATCTCTTTCGCTTCTTCATAACTGCAAAACTCCTCGTAGCATTCTCTCTCCAGGTCCCCGGGAGTGAAGAGCTCTAAATCAAACCTGTTGTACAGGAGGCGGCGGTGCATGAAGACGTTTGCTGCTTCTTTTGATGCAAAGACTGAAAGAGAAATACAAAAAGATTTCAAACACAATTAAGCTAAGGCAGAAACTTCCTGTTTTAACTGGAGGAAAAACCATTCTCTTGATATGGGTAAACTATACCAGCCTTTTCTGGGTAGCTTTTAGTTTAGCCTCCCAAATAGCTTTGGTAAAACGGCTTCCAGGAAATCCTGGCAATTCCGGACAATACTTGAGTTGTTTATGCCCCAAATTATTAACATAATAAAGCTTATTAAAGTTTTAGTTACCCTTCCCAGTGATTATTTTCTCCTGAAAATAACAGATGAGACTACTTCCCCAAAGGTTGTTTCCCTATGATTTTTCCTGCTTTTCTTTTTAGTGCTAGAATCCAACTTAGGGCCTTAATGATAAGTTAGTGTGCTTTTTTGGGGCTGTATGTGTGATGTGTGTGTTCATGTGTTGGTGCACCTACCCATCTGGAGGCCGGAAGAGGATGTTAGGTGCCCTGTTCTATTACTTTCCATCTTACTCCTTTGAGGCAGGGTCTCTCACCGAACCTGAAGCTTATAACTTTGGATATGCTGGCTGGTCAGCAAGCTCCCAGAATTCACCTGTCTCTACTTGCCTGGCCTGGGGTTACAGGTGCACGAGTAGCCATTCTTGGTGTTTACATGGGTTAGTGCAGATCAAAACTGAAGCTGTCAGGCTTGCATAGCGGGAACTCAGTCACTAAAGTCACCTCCCCAGTCCCAAATTTACATTTTTATATTGAAGGTTTTATATAATCTGATACTAAAAGATAGAATTCTAAACTGTGTACAAAATTATAGGCTAATTAGAAGATTAGCTTAGAGCTACTCAGTCCATTCCAAAGGAATGGCTCCTTTCACCCGTGCATCTCACCCTCCAGACAGGCATTCACAGCACCTTGTGGGATTTCTTCCACACTCGCTGAGAGATCAACGGGAAACAATCAGGTGAAGCGCATGACAGGATGAGGCAGGGCAAGCGTGAACTGAAAGTCAGCCTTGGCTACACAGCGAAGTGAGAAAAAAAAAACGTGTGTGTGTGTGCTTGTGCGTGCCTGCGTGCGTGTGTGAGTGCGTGTGTGTGTGCTTGTGCGTGCCTGCATGCGTGTGTGCGTGCCTGCGTGCGTGCATGTGTGTGTGTGGGGGGGGTGGGTACACGTGTGCACGTGTAGAGCAGGTTCCCAATGTAGCTCTGGAAAATTCCAGATAGCCCAGGACCAAGTTCTATGATCCCTAGGTACAGGGACTGCATGTGTGAACCTCCCTATTCAGTGATCAGAAGCATAAAGAATATCCCTTCACTATTAATAGGAAGACAAAATAAGTTTTCCACCAAGTAATTTTTAAAATAGGACTTTTAAAGCCCCTCACAATCAAAGTTTAGTATATTTGTTTAAATATATTGAAATGAAGGTTTCTTGAAGGAAATGATGTTACCTGAACAATTTTAGTTCCTAGCCCTTTACTATAAATAGGCAAAATTATCTCCTAGGTTGCATTGTCTCTAGACTGTACGGTTTGTCTTGTTGGGTTGGGTTTGTGTGATTGTGTGTGTGTGTGCATTCCTTCCGCTTTCCTTGTAGCCATAGAAATCTTTGGAGCACACATACCTTTATTTACTTAGAGAGTTGGGAATAGTGAGATGTATTTGTAAAGTTTCTAGTAATCTCCTTATATGTTATTTTGCTGGCCTCTCTCTATATATAATATAGTAGTATATTTTGACTAGGAGGGGAATATGATTTGTTAAGTTTTGAAATCTCAGACTGGCCATTATTCTTAATATCATGAGAATACTCATATTTTGCCCAAGATATTTTTCTATACATTAACTATCTAAGTAGGTTAGAATCTTCTAGATCTGTCTTGGCCAGTTTATGAGTTCCTGGTCATATATGTTGGCTAAGCACCAAAAAAGTGGCTAGTCTAACTGATACATAAAACACAGAATTTTAGACTTCATATTAAAAAGTATTTGAGAGAGCACAGGCAAGTTATATATTGTATATACTTTGAATGGGCATTGTGGATATTAGATAATATCATAAACATTATTAAAATCTATTTCACCTATTTCCTTTTGCTTTGTAGAGGCCCAAAAATGTGAACCTATTTCCACCTTGTCCGAATGTCAGAGAGTTTGGAGGTGGCTCAATATTTAACAACAACCAGGACTACACAGCCTGACTCAGGATGTGGTTACTTGGTTCTCTTGACATTAAGATGGCAAATACAGGTAGATCCACTCCATCCTGACTGATGGTCAGGATATGCAAGAATACTTCTGCTTCTGCTCCTTCTTTTGTAATTGGAAGTCTAACCCGGGGAATGGCAGCTTTCAGGATACTTGGTCTAGGGTGACTTTACTATCTAAACAACAGAATGCTAATGACTTGATGTCTCAAAGTATTAAGACAATTAACAGGTCTAGTTGTCTGTTGTATCATATTAAACAAGTCTTTTGTTGCCTTCTTCCTCCTTTTGTATTGGGGTATAAAAGCACATGGAAAATTAACTGCAGTCGATTTTAGTATTCACTGGAATTCCCTCTCTACACTATCCTATGTTTTCTGTTTTATTATTTTATTTGCGTCTTCATCTTCTTTATTATTTTTCTGATCTACACATCCCTACCCTGGCAAGTGGTATTTTTGTCCAGGCTGCCACAACATTGCTTGTTATTTTATTTTTGCTTTAATTCATTAATTAATTATTGAAGGCAGGATCTCCCTATGCAGTTCTGGTTGGCCTGAAACTCACATAGGTCAGGCTGGTCTTGAACTT